CCCCTCACACTCCCATTGCACACAATGCCCTTGTTTAAATAAAGTTAGGAATATTGGAATAGCAAGTCATTTTTCTTATCTTTCCTTTTTTTTTTTGTCAATTGGGAGGCCTGAAATCTGGGGCTGGGCACTGTCCCTCAGCTCTTCAGCTCAAGGCGAGCGCTCTACCACTTGAGCTACAGCGCCACTTCCGGTTTTCTGGTGGTTTATTGGAGATACGAGTCTCACGGTCTTTCTTGCCCGGGCTGGCTTTGAACCGAGATCCTCAGATCTCAGCCTCCTGAGTAGCTAGGATTACAGGCGTGAGCCACCAGCGCCCGGCTGTTTTCAGTTCTCTTAAGTGGTATGGTAATTCTTTTTTTTTGGTCCGGTCATGGGGCTTGAACTCTGGGCCTGGACACTGTTCCTCAGCTCTTCGTGGTATGGTAATTCTACGTGGAACTTTTTTTTTTTTTTTGGTTGGTCGTGGGGCTTGAACTCTGGGCTTGGGCGCTGTCCTTGTACTCTTCAGTCCAAGGCGAGTGCTCTACCACTTGAGCCACAGCGCCACTTCCGGTTTTCTGGTGGTTTATTGGAGATAAGAGTTTCACAGACTCTCCTGCCCGAGCTGGCTTTGAACCGTGATCCTCAGATCTCAGCCTCCTGAGTAGCTAGGATTACAGGTGTGAGCCACCAGCGCCCGGCTATGTGGAACATTTTGAAGGCTCACCATACTGCCACAGTGTCACAGCATCAACATTTTACATTTCACCAGCAATGTATAGTGTTTTTTTTCAGTTTTAAGTAGTTATTATGTAATATACTGTAGATCAGTATCGTGGGAGACAAAAATGATAGTCTCCTTTAGTAAGTGAAGGTGGTATTTTACTATTTTTTGTGAGCGTGCTGGTCCTGGAATTTGTTTGTTTTTTTTTTTTCTTTGGTCGGCCGTGGGGCTTGAACTCTGGGCCTGGGCACTGTCCCTCAGCTCTTCAGCTCAAGGCGAGCGCTCTACCACTTGAGCTACAGCGCCACTTCCGGTTTTCTGGTGGTTTATTGGAGGTACGAGTCTCACGGTCTCTCCTGCCCGGGCTGGCTTTGAACCGCGATCCTCAGATCTCAGCCTCCTGAGTAGCTAGGATTACAGGTGTGAGCCACCAGCACCCGGCTGGTTCTGGAATTTGAACTCAGGGCCTGTCACCTGAGCTGTTTGTGCTCCAGGTTAGCATTCTACCACTTGAGCCAGAGCTCCACTTTTGACCTTCTGGTAGTTATTTGGAGATGTGAGCGTCACAGGCATTTCTTTACTTCCTGGGCTGGCTTTGAACCATAATCCTCAGATCTCAGCCCCCTGAGTGGCTAGGATTACAGGTGTATGAGCCATTGGTGCCCAGCTCACTATGGTTTTTGATCTTTATTTCTTCCTGTCATCTTTTCAGGTGGTTACTGACCATTTGTCAGTCTTTTTTTTTTTTTAAGTGTCTGTTCATGTCTTCTGCTTCTTGTTGAGTTTTAGGAGTGTTTTATATATTTGGAATGCAACTGTCTTATCAGATAGATGACTTGAGAATATAATCATTTTTGGATTCTGCATATGCAAACTTTCCTACTCATTAAACATTTTTTGTGGTCTCTAATCTATATTCTGTCTTCATGAGTTTGCCTATTCCTTTTTTGTTGGTGATAGTGGTCAAGAGGTATGAACTCAAGGCCTGGAGACTGTCCCTGAGCTCTTTTGATTAAGGCTACCACTCTACCACTTTGAGCCACAATGCCACTTTGGTTTTCTGGTGGTTAATTGGAGATAAGAGTCTCACATAGGTTCCTGCCCTGGTTGGCTCTGAACTGCTATCCTCAGATCTCGGCCTCCTGAGTAGCTGGGACTACAGTCATGAGCCACCAGCACCTGACTAACATTTCAAATGTGTTACTGTATACTACTTATCTTTGTGTTACTACTCAGGGCCACTGGAGTCATTCCTGCCCATGGTCAGAATGGCAAACAATTTAAGTTGCCCAGTATGCACTGTCTGGCTGAGGTAAGGCCCAGTGACGCTGTTTTTCTTGTTCCAGCTTACATGCTGTAAGGAGGCACCTTTTTGCAGTTGTCTTAAGTGTCATGTTTTCTGTAGTTGTGCTTATTGGTGGTGATTTCATTGTCCCCAAGTAGTGCTGAAGTGCTATTTAGTGTTCCTAAATACAAGAAGTCTATCTTATACAGAAAATATGTCAGATAGGAGTTAGAGTGTAAGCATTATGTTAATTAGTCAACAGTATATGTTAATTAAGTTAACTTTATACAGAAACACATAAAACAAGGCTAGACACTGATTGACTGATGGTGACCAGAGGCGCCCCAGATTAGCTCTGGGCGTATTTATTATTTCTAATTCAGTGTTCATAGAGCCTTTTATAGACAGTCACTATGAACAATGAAAATTGGTTGGCTGGGCGCCAGTGGCTCACGCCTGTAATCCTAGCTACTCAGGAGGCTGAGATCTGAGGATTGAGGTTCAAAGCCAGCCTGAGCAGGAAAGTCTGTGAGACTCTTATCTCCAATAAACCACTAGAAAACCGGAAGTGGTGCTGTGGCTCAAGTGGTAGAGCACTTGCCTTGAGCTGAAGAGCACAGGGACAGTGCCCAAGCCCAGAGTTCAAGCCCACAACAGACAAAAAAAAAAAAAAGGTTGTATTTTTGCTTTCTCGATAACATCCTTTGGTATACAAAACATTTTAATTTTGCTGAGGTCTTAATTTATTTTTCTTGTTGCTTATGCTTTTGGTGTCATATCTAAGAAGCCATTGCCAAATCCAAAATCTGGAAGAGTTACCTGAGTACTTCCTTTTTCTTCTTCTGCTCCTGTATGTAGGTTGTAACCTGTTCAAGTCATTTTTGTATGTGTATGAGGCAGGAATCCCAGCTTCATAATTCTGCATGTGTTACCTCTGTTGAAATAATTATCTTTCCCCCCAGTCCCCATTGAATGAACCTTAGCAGCCCTTGTCAAAAATGAATTCCAAGCTGGGTGTTAGTGGCTCACACTTGTAACCCTAGCTATTCAGGAGGCTGAGATCAGAGAATTGAGGTTCAAAGCCAGCCCAGGCAGACATATCCTTGAGACTTGTATCCCAGCCCAGGCAGACATATCTTTGAGACTTGTATCTCCTGCAAAAAGCCAGACATGAAGGTGTGGCTCAGGTGGTAGGGTACTAGCCTTAAACAAAGAAGCTTAAGGGGTTCAGGAAATGGAACAAGAGGATTTTTCTGTTACTGTTTTTATTTTTGTATTTTTTTTGTTCCTTTATCTGTCTTTGGGAAAGTAACAGGGGCACAGAAACGGAAGGACAAAGGGAACAAATACAGCAGTGGTATTCACTAGCTCCTAGGTTGAAAATGAACTGTACAATTAGGAGTGGGGGAATGGGAGGTGACACAGTCCCAAGAGAAATGTATTCATTACATAACTTACATAACTGCAACCCTTCTGTACACAATCAACTCCATAATAAAAAAGTTTTAAGCTTAAGGGACAGCACCCAGACTCTGAGTTCAAGCCTCAGATCCAGCACTAAATAATGAAGACTAAAGAAATAGGCAATACCTCAGAATGGAAGAGGATGGAAATTCCAAGAACAATCTGACTTAAAAAAAAAAAAAAGCTACCTCTACTGTTTGAGACAGAAGAGTCTTGCTGCATAGCTCATACTGACCTGAATGGCTCCATGGTCTGCCCCAGCCTGCCAGTTAGGGAATCACAGGAGTACACCCCCATGCCCAGGGGTGGAGCAAGATTTTGGAATAAACATTATGTGAACCTCTTGCTATCTGATAGGCACTTTGTGTTAGTCAATGCCTATTTCACAAATTGGGTGGCATAGCTGGTAGATAGGGATTATGAGACCTTCAATATTCTGCAATACTGCCTTTGACTTGGCAGTTCTTCAACCTTTTCCTATAATCCTTCAAGCTTTTCCTAGTATTATATTGTTGTTGGGAAAATGAAAAATACATTTTCAAAAATTTGCTTTTTAAAATGCACTTCCCTGATGAATTCATCAGTAGATCATGGCTGTCCAGGGGGACCAGTGGGGTAAATGGGCTGAAGAGTATAGGATGGGGAGTAGTTGTCCCACAAATGAGTTCTGAAACCTGGGAGCAGTGGATCGGATTTTCCAAGAATCTTGACAGGTGGTTAATAACTAGAGAGAGTTAGGAAAAACAGAAAAATGGGGGGGGGGAAACTATGGCCCACTGTGAAACACGGTCCAATAAGACTGAATTGAGAACAGTATTTTGTCCACCATCTCTTAATTGCCAGTTATCAATGAATGTCTTCAAAGTCTAAAAATTCCAGTAAATATTAATCTTAGGATATGGAGATTTGATGTTTTTCTCCAAGCAGAAGAAATTTTCCCTGATCAAGCCCCTAAATTTCCATGTCTTATGTGTTATAAATGCATGTAGGAGTCTGGTTCCCGTTTCAGGCGCCGTGTCTCTTTCCAAACTCCAATTTATTTCCCAGCTCTGTAGTCACGTGATAACTGCTTTGGTGCAAGGTCATTTAACTACTTCAGCCCAGTATCTTCATTTACAAAGTGGGAATGGTTGTGCCTTTCAGAAGGTTGTTAAAACAAATATGCAAAATAAAATGCTGCTAGGCACAGGTGGCCCACGCTTTTCGTGGTTCCAAGTCAGCCCGGCAGGAATGTCCATGAGACTCTTCAATTAACCACCAAAAGCCAGAAGTGGAGCTGTGGCTCAAGTAGTAGACTGCCAGCCTTGAATGAAAGAGCTCAAGGACATCGCCCAGGCCCTGAGTTCAAGCCTCAGGGCAGGAACAGCAAATATACTTACTGTGGTTTAAAATTTGGTGTGTGTGTGTGGGAGGATCGGGCAGTGGGGGACGTGGGAGGGGTATAGGAAGGGATGGGAAGGGTAAACAAAGGAGGAGGAGGCAACAATGCTTGATAAAAAATGCACACGTTATCTTGCCCATGTAATTGTAACCCTTCTGTACACTATTTTCACAATTAAAAAAAAAAAAGGACTTAAAAGCCCGGAGCCTGTAGTGACTCACGCCTGTAATCCTAGCTACTCAGGAGGCTGAGATCTGAGGATCAAGGTTCAAAGCCAACCCGAGCAGGAAAGTCCGTGAGACTCTTATCTCCAATAAACCACCAGAAAACCGGAAGTGGCGCTGTGGCTCAAGTGGTAGAGCGCCCACCTTGAGCTGAAGAGCTGAGGGACAGCGCCTAGGCCCAGAGTTCAAGCCCCATGACCAACCAAAAAAAAGTACTCAAGAATTTGGGGCAGCTATCCTGACACCAGGGCAATTCTTGATGCAATGCAGGTAAGGAGAAATCAAGACATCAGTCCTGGGCCGGGAAATCTGTGGTCAGAGAAACAGCTAGGTTCAACTTCCCTTCCCCAAAAGCCACTGGCCACGTCCAGCGCGAGGACTACAACTCCCAGCATGCCTCGCGGCGGCGTCGGTACGTCCCTTCCCCCCGCTTCCGGGCCGGCCGCACGCGGGCGCCGCCTACTCTCCAGGCTGTGCGCCCGCGCGCCATGGATGCCGGGTGCTGGGTGGTCGGCGGCGAGTTCGAGGACTCGGTGTTTGAGGAGAGGGCAGAGCGGCGGCGCGGGCCGCCCGCGCCCTACGTCGCCAAGCGCTGCGAGCCGCAGGTGAGAGCGGGCCGCTTGCCTCGCGGGACCCTTGCGCCCGGAGCCTGAGAGCGGAGCCCGGCTGCGGGGCCGGGGTCGAGGCCGCGCCTGGAGTGCCCGCAGCCCCCCGCGCACCCCGACTGCACATCCTCGGCGTCCCCGGCCCGACGGCCGCCCCGCGGCCCGCCCGCTCACCCGCGGGTCGGTGGAGCAGTTACCGGGCGCAGGCTCCACGCCTGAGTCCCCCTTCCAACGAAACGTCTTTGACTGCGCTCTCCACCCAGGGATCTTAACCGATGCCTAACCGGCTTCAAAATAGGGGCGTCGTGATGGTTCTAAGTTAATAGGATAGTTGTGAATCCGTCTTTTGGGGTTCACAGTTATGGCGGGAATAAAATGAGATAATGCGTGTGAAATACCTCGTCCGAGGCGCAGTGCTGTATACTTACAAAGCCAGGCGCTGGTGGCTCACACCTTTAATCCTAACTACTCAGGAGGTTGAGATCTGAAGGAGCTCTGCCAGCCAGGGCAGAAGAATCCTTGACACTGCTGGTTCATCTGCAGTTGACCAACAAAAAGTTGCAAGTGGAGGTGTAACTCAAGTGGTAGAGCACCAGCCTTGAGCAATAAAAGGCAAGTGGAGATGGAGATCCTGCCTTCAGGCTCCAGTTCTGGCGCACACACACACACACACACACACACACACACACACACACACACACACCCAACCAGCCAAAGAAAAGTAAAACACGTTTAAAGCTTTATGTGTAATGTATTTGCTATATGAATATGACAAAACCCAACTCAACTCCCAAACTCAACGGTTTATCCGAGCCTTGTTGGTTTTACTAGTGTAAAGCTAGTCCCAGCCTGCTTGGGACAATCAGGGATTTGCCCAGTCTCTACATTCCCTCCCTTATTCGTGGGTTCTTCCAGCCTTCCTCTTATCAGAGAGGGTATTGCAGGGTATCAGCTGCCTGCATGCAGAGCACACAGGTTGTGTGAGAGAATAAAAGTAATCAGCCTGTGTTGCTTTCTCATTTCCCAGTGGGATGGTGAAAACTGGATGGAGGCCATAGGTTGTAGCTGAATGGCTGATCTAAGCGTCCCATGCAGCATGTGACTCCACAGCAGTAGAATACAAAGGACAATCAAGGGTCAGGTACATGGTGTTGAGTGACATTGGAGGGGTGGGGGGAGAGTAGAGAAAAACTGACTTGTGTCTTTCTCCACTCCATGGATCAGGCTAAGAGAGAAATGGTTTTGTAAAGTTAACCGGGGCCTTGATGCTCAGGTGGCTTTTAGAAGTAGCCCCTAGCAAGACCTGGCATTACTTGTGGCTGCCTGGGGAACTGTAGGTAGGAGGATCATGGTATAATGCCAGCCCCAGACAAAATGTGAGACCATGTCCGAAAAGTAACTAAAACAACAACAACAAAAAAGGACCTGGAGAGGAGGCTCAAGTGGTAAAGCATCTTCCTAGCAATTGCAGAAGCCCTGAGTTCAAATGCCAGTACTGCCAAAAAGAAAAAAATTAGAGCCAAACTGTTATGATAGGCGAATCAAGGGAGATGTGCTTGGATCAGGAGTATTTAGAGATAGAATTTCTTTAGCCTCATTGTGTTGTACTGTGAGTAAAAGGGAGCATAAGATCCTCCTTTGGAGCTGAGTATCTGCACACACACACTGCCCTTTCTCATACCATGTGTGCATCTACGTATATATTTATTCAGTGGTTTCATGAAGAAACAGAGAAGAGTGATGATGAAGTTCTGACTCTCAAGAAGTTCCGCGGGGACCTGGCCTACCGACGGCAGGACTATCAGGTAGTGTGAATGTGTTCTTGAAATGGGCTCCTGTTGCATCAATTCTAGTTCATCGAAGAAGCAGTGTGCTAAGTGATGAGTGTTTTGTTTGTGAAGATAGTTTAATCTCAGACACCTCCCCTGACCCCAAATTGCTGTCCTTTTTCTTTTCTATTCTTTTTTTTTTGTCTGTCATAGGGTTTGAACTCAGGGCCTGAGCACTGTCCCTGAGCTCTTCAGCTCAAGGCTAGCACTCTACCACTTGAGCCACAGCGCCACTTCGGGTTTTCTGGTGGTTAATTGGAGATCAGAGTCTCACGGACTGTCCTCCTAGGCTGGCTTTGCACTGTGATCCTCAGATCTCAGCCTCCTGAGTAGCTAGTGTTACAGGTGTGAGCCACCGGTGCCTGCTGCTGTCCTTTTTTCTTGTGGCTCTGCGATTTGTTTCCTATAACACCTCCTATGTGCTGGCCTCCAGCAGACATCTCTCAGCACACAGCATGGAAGAAAAGAGAACAAACCAGTAGGGACGAGGTGGCTTTATCTGTGTATCTGGTTTCCTCTTCCTGTAAACAGGAGACTGAGCCTGGGCTGTTTGGCTCCAGAAAGTTCTGGCTCCTCCCTGACAGGTGCTTTTCATGAGTATAGTCATTAGATCCCAGACCATTCTGTCTCTGCCTCTTAGAAAAATCGTTCGCTGGGTACTGACGGTATACGCCTGTAATCCTAGCTACTTAGGAGGCTGAGATCTGAGAATCACAATTTGAAGCCTTTCAAGATGAGCCTAGTGACTATTTTATGTATGTGTGTGCTGGTCCTGGGGCTTGGGCTCTGTCCCTCAATTCAAGGCTAGTGCTCTACCACTTGAACCACAGCTCCACTTTCTAGAGACTCTGATCTCCAATTAGCCAGCAAAAATCTTGAAAAGGAAGTATGAATATGTAGCAATGTCAACCTTGGGTAAAAAAGCCTCAAGAGCAGTTGGAGGCATGGCTCAATTGGTAGAGCACTACGTATTGAGTGAAAGTGGTAGGTACCAAGTTCAAATCCCAGTCTCAGAAAGAAAAAGCCTCAAGAGGTCCTGAGTTCAAGCCCCAGTACCAGCACAAGAAAAGAAAAATACTTCTGACTAAAGTATCAAGTACATGACTTCCACCTAGGAAAATTCTCTCTACTGAATCCTTTCCCATGTTTTTTCTTTTCTTGTTTGTTGGTCTTTTAACAAATAATTGCCAGAAAGCACTGCAGGAGTATTCTAGTATTGCGGAACGATTGTCCTCTACCAATCTTGCTGTGAAAAGGGACGTCCAGGAAGGCCAGGCACGGTGTCTGGCTCACTTGGGAAGGCATGGGGAGGCACTGGAGATCGCTGCGGATTTGGTGAGTTCTTCCATGGCTTGTTTTCATATGTTTTGCCTCTTGGGGTTTGAACTCTGGGCCTGGGCGCTGTCCCTGTGCTCTTCTGCTCATGGCTAGTGTTCTACCACTTGAGCCACAGCACCACTTCCAGTTTTATGGTGGTTTATTGGAGAAAGGGGTCTCACAGACTTTCTTGCCTGAGCTGGCTTTGAGCCTCGATCCTCAGATCTCACCCTCCTGAGTAGCTAAGATTACAGGAATGAGCCTTAGGCGCCCACCTTATTTTCTTAGACTCTTATTAGCTTTATTTCCAAATATCTTTATTTTTTTAATTTCCAGAATTTGTAGTATTTCTGTAAGTTACAAAAACATGACTCAATACCATCCCAAGCTTGGCCTTGGTATCATCCTTTTTATTTACTTTATTTATATTTGTGCTGATCATGGGGCTTGAACTCAGAGCCAGGGCATTGTCCCTGAGCTTTTTTTTTTTTCCCTAAAAGCTAGCACTCTATCACTTGAGCCACAGCTCCACTTCCAGCTTTTTGCTGGTTAATTGGAGATAAGCATCTCATGGACTTCCTGCCTCGCTGTTTTCAAAATGTGACCCTCAGATCTCAGCCTCCTGAATAGCTAGGATTGCAGGCATGAGCCACCAGCGCCTGGCTCCTTTTTATTTTTTATTTTATTTATTTTTTTTGCCGGTTGTGGGGCCTAAACTCTGGGCCTGGGTGCTGTCCCTCAGCTCTTCAGCTCAAGGCTAGCACTCTACCACTTGAACCACAGCACCACTTATGGCTTTTTCTGTTTATGTGGTGCTGAGGAATCGAACCCAGGCCCTCATGCATGCAAGCCAAGCACTCTACCACTGAGCCACCTTCCTAGCCCCTACTTTTTATTTTTAAATAAGACTTGCATAATTCTTTTTTTTTTAATTTTATTTTATTTGTGAACATACTGAAGACTTGCATAATTCTTTAAGAGCCTCAGAAAGACAGTTCTTTGTAATTGTGGATTCTGTTTGCTTGGTTTTAGATTTAGATATTTATGGTTTACTTTGCTTGATATTTGCATAAGTTTGATAGCAGAGTTAGTCTAAATTGGCCAGTCCTTGTATATGATGAGTTTTCTTTTCCAAAGGGAGCTGCTGAGCTCTGTGGACTGATCATGAGGCCTGTGGGTGACCGGAAGTCAGCCTGCAGCCCATGCAAATGAGCCTGCATCTCCCTGCATCTCATTAACTGGGAGGAAATCCTCACCTTGGTCAGCCCCGCATCTGGCCCCAGCGTCTTCATTTTTATGTAGAAAATGTTTTGCATCTTAAGGGTTTCTTTTACCTTCTTTTTTTCTCCTCAGGAAAATAAAGCAACTAACACAGACCACTTAACCACGGTGCTCTACCTCCAGTTTGCTATTTGTTCAAGTTTACAGAATTTGGAGAAAACAATTTTTTGCCTACAGAAACTGATTTCTTTGCATCCTTTTAATCCTTGGAGCTGGGGGAAATTGGCTGAGACTTACCTGAATCTGAGGCCAGCATTTTCAGCGTCATTTACGTCATCTCGCACACAGAACCGTTTCATCTTACAGGGCGTAACTGTCACGCCTGCCTTCTCAGGAAAAGACCATTTGCCTTATTTTCCTGAGCCCGGGCCTGAGAGCTCAGCATCTCCCAGGGAAGTGAGTGGCAGCGGGAGCCAGCAAGCTGAGATCACACCTAGAAATGGTCCCACCTGCGCAGCAGGAGGGGGAGCAGCCGGGTGGACAGAGGCTCAGGTGAAAGCCTGTGCCTCTTTGATCCGAGCCAGGTAAGCAGAGCCAGGTAAGCCGGGTGTGGAGGTGCCCACACCTGAGCTCAGTTTAGTCTTCAAAAAATCTTCTTAGGAGCTGGGCACCGGAAGCTACTTATAATCCTAGCTACTCAGGAGACAGATCTGAGGATCGCGGTTCAAAGCCAGCCCAGGCAGGAAAATCCATGAAGACACTTTATTTCCAGTTAACCACCAGAAAACTGGACGTGGCACTGTGGCTCAAGTGGTAGAGCACTCACTGAAGAGTTCAGCTGAAGAATTAAAGGATAGCGTCCAGGCCCACGACCAAAAAAAAAAAAAATCATATTAGGTACTTGCTATATGTTTTTTAATTTTTTCCTGTGACCCATTTGGAGCCCTTTGAACACATGCCATTTCTGTGTGTGAAATTTAGAAACATCTATGTTCAAGAATGTTTTATCCAAGCTATAGGATGAAAGAAAATCCTTGCCAGCTATTCATTAAGTAAATGATTACTGTCCCAATTTTACAAAAAGCCCAAGAAAAGAACTCCAGAAGAACAAATCCTCCAATATTAAATGAGCAGCTTCATGGAACCAATAATTCTCTGAAGAAATACCCATGGCTAGGGCTGGGAATGTGGCTTAGTGGTAGAGTGCTTGCCTAGCATGCTTGATTCCCTGGGTTCCATACCTCAGTACCACATAAACAGAATGGGCCAGAAGTGGCACTGAGGCTCAAATGGGACAGAGCCTAGGCCTTGTGGTCAAGCTCTAGGAGAGGCACAAAAACGAAAAGAGGGTACACATAATAAGTTCTATAATTTATAAGAGAAGAAACAGAAACTCATGAAAATGTAGAGATTATTTTTTCACATAAAGAAGCTGAGAAATATTTTTTGTGCCAGTGCTGGGACTTCACCGCAGGACCTCCTGCTTTCCCTGTGGCTCTTTCACTCAAGTCTTAGGCTTTATCACTTGAGCCACACCTCCACTTCTGGCTTTTTGCTGAGTAATTGGAGGTAAGAGTCTTGGATTTGTTTGTCTGGGCTGGCTCCAAACCTCCATCTTCCAGTTTGTCTCGCTCATTCTGTAATCTGCCTGGAAGGCACGTGGTGTAGAGGAAAGCACATCCCACAGGGACAGAGGAGCTGGTGTGGAAGAGTCTCACAGTCTGGTGTGAACACGCTGTGGTGGGAGCACAGGGGAGCGCAGGGAACAGGAAGGAGAAGTAGTACTTGTAGTCGCACTGTCTCGGTGGCAGATGTGTCTCTGCTAGTGTGCTGTTGCTATAACGGAAGACCACAAACTGGACAACTTATCAAAAAAAGGAGTTTATTTCTTGGACTGGTAGAGTGCTTGCCATGAGCAGAAAGAGCCAAAACACGAGCATAAGGCCCTGAGTTCATGTCACGGTACTGGCGCATGCACACGCACACACACACGCACGCACGCACATGCACCACATGAATAAAGACTACGTATAGCCAGGAAAATCACTTCAGTACTATTTTCTATGGCCGGCATGGAAATGTCATTGAGTGCAGGCACCCTAGGAGCGAACCCAGAATGCCGGGTGGCAGGTGTCTGCCTAGAAGCCTGTTCTTACACTGTATGTTCTCTGTGCCCAGATACTTGCCTGCCGCAGGCAGCTCCTTTGTGGCATTGCTTCTAACGTTGTGAGGAGTTGGTTCTGAGTGTTGGGGAAGATGACTCTCCGGTGGGAACATCGGTTTGTTTGGAGCAAGGAGGTGTCGGGATGTGAGCAGACCCTACCTAATAAGCCAGCCCTGGGCAGACCTCCGCGTGCCCGGCCTGACCCAGCCCCCACTGTTGGCCTGCAGTGGAGCTGCACCTTAGCACATTGACTCTTGCGACTTCCTGTGTTTGCAGGCTCTTGCTTCAGTTCACCCAGTCGCAGCAGATCTCCTTCGCTTTGGAGAGGAACCTGAGGACCCAGCAAGAGATTGAAGAGCAGCTAAAAGGATTCAGCCTTGGGGAGGACACCCTGCAGTTGATCACGGAGGTGAGGCGGTCCCCAGGTTGACAGAGATACTTTGCCTGGCTCCTGTACCATTTCCTCAAAGTCTCACCACTCGGTAGTTACCAAAGCAACCCCTTCTCCATCCTCCCTGCCATGTGTGATGGCAGGGCCTACCCTTCCTGTGCTTGTCAGCACTACTCAGCACCTGCCTGCTTGAGCACCCTAAGTGCTGAGTGTTAAGTGGTAGTTTGTACACTTGCCCTCTCCTCAGCTGATGGCTGAGGTTGGGACAGCCGGAGATCAGCTTTTTAGGGGCTCTGCTGATCTACCCACGGAGGGCCTTCCTGAGAGCCTGTATCATCCCCATTCCTAGATTTCTTCTCTCTTTTCCCTTCCCCCAGCCCTTCCTCACCATCCTCTTCTCTACCTTCCCCTTGCCTCCCTTGCAGGAAAATTCTGAGTTGTGGCTACATAGTAAGTTCCAGGCCAGACGAGCCACAGAGCGAGACCCTGTCTTAAAAAAAAACAAAAACAGGTCTGGGAAGGTGGCTCAGTGCTTGCCTTGCATGCATGAGGTCCTGGGTTCAATTCCTTAGCACCACATAAACAAAAAGCTGGAAGTGGCATTGTGGCTCAAGTGGTAGAGCACTTCAGAGCTGAGGGACAGCACCCAGGCCCAGAGTTCAAGCCCCATGACCAACAAAACAAAAAACAAAAAAAACACAAAAACAGCCAGGCACCAGTGGTTCACACCTGTAATCCTAGCTACTCAAGAGGTTGAGATCTGAGGATTGTGGTTTGAAGCTAGCCCAGGAAAGTCCATGAGACTCTTTATCTCCAGTAAACTTAGAAAAAGTTGAAGTGGCTCTATAGCTCAAGTGCTAGAATGCTTGCCTGAGCACAGAGTCTCAAGGACAGTGCCCAGGACCGAGAGTTCAAGCCCTAGGACTGGCAAAAAAAAAAAGAAAAACAAAAACTTGTCTGTGTTTGATTTTTACTATAAAATACCAATTTTATATAATTTGACATAATATTATTTCTTTTATAATTTTCAATTTAATAGGTTAGAAGATCTAGCTATTATGTAGCTACACATATATTTCATAAATGATAGTATTTTATAAATATTAATGCTTATTTCTTTGATTGCTATTAAACCAGGTTTTGTTGTTGCTATTGCTTTGTGATGGTATTGGGACCTGAATTCAGAGCTTTGTGCTCTCTGCTTTTTTGCTAATGCTGGTGCTCTGCTACTTGAGCCCTGTCTCCAGTCTGAGTTTTGTTTTGTTTTGAATGCTGGTACTGGGGTTTGAACTCAGGGCCTCAGTCTTGTGAGACAAGTGCTCAACCACTGACCCATGACTGCTGTCAAGATAAATCAGTTTTTTATTGACCATTTGTATTTTGTGAAATGCCTGAGCACTGTCCCTCTGCTCTTCAGCCCAAGGCCAGCGCTCTACCACTTGAGCCACAGCGCCACTTCCAGTTTTCTGGTGGTTAATTGGAGATAAGAGTCTCATGGACTTTCCAGCCAAAACTGGCTTTGAACTGGGATTCTCAGATCTCAGCCTCCTGAGTAGCTAGAATTACAGGCATGAGCCACTGGTGCCCAGCTCCTTTTGGGATCTTTTGACATGGAAATTTAATACATATACATGTATATGTTTATTTATTTATATGGTGAAGATATTTTGATACTCATAAATATTAATACTAGCCTAACCTCTTTTTGGAATTTTTAAAAGACTTTTATTATCTTTAAGTAGTTGTACAAAGGAGTTGTCATTCAACAAAGCAGTTTATTGTGAATACAATACATCTTGAATTTTTTTAAAGATTTTAATGTTATTCCTACCCATGTACTTTTACATGGGGGTCTCACTGCTTGCTCCAGGATAACCTAACTTTCAGTTTCCCAGATAGCTTTTTTTTTTTTTTAATTCGCTTATGTAGCCTAAGCTGGCCTTGGATTTGTGATCCTCTGGCCTCTGCCTCCACTTTCCAAGAGTTGGATTTAACAGCATGGACCAACCTCCCAGCACTAGTAGCTTTTTTTTTTTTTTCTTGGATTTGTGATCCTCTGGCCTCTGCCTCCACTTTCCAAGAGTTGGATTTAACAGCATGGACCAACCTCCCAGCACTAGTAGCTTTTTTTTTTTTTTTTTTTAAAGAATGCTTTTTGGTGTTTGATCCAAGATTTAAAAATACCTAATTTCATTGATGCCATCAGTTGTAAGGCCTGCCATTATTTGATGTGCCACTAAGGGAAAAATAAGGTGCCATTTACAGTATGACTTACCAGTGTTAGGTTTCAGAGACACTGAAGGGATACAATGATAAAAAATTCCTTTAGATCTGATGAAATAATGCTTTAATAAATACCCCTCATCTCACTGGAAGTTTCCTAAAAAAAAAAGGTAATCTGTGATGATTCATACCTGCAGGAAACGATCCTGTTTCTAACTAGAGTTGTCATGAACACTTTAGATCTTTGGGTTGGCAAGAGCCATAGAAATCTAGTCTAAAACCATTTGGCAAAGTCTCTTCCCAACATCCAGCTGGACAGACATGTAGCTCATGCCACATGTGTGACATGTTTTGGAATGTAGTTTCAGTCCACCATCATTATCAAAGGTGGAGCTGACTGCTGAGTGGGTTCAAGTATCTTTCTAGAACCTAGCTCTGTGATGATAACTCAGAATCCAGGGACTTGGCCCTGGTCTCCCCGGGGCCTGATTCTGGCCGGTAGGGAGCAGTCTTGTGCCTTCACTGGGTCTATGGTGTAGAGCCATCCAGAAGAGCGTCTTGACTTCAGAGGACTCTTTCTGCTCTTCCTGGGCTAGCGAAGGCTAGGCTTAGCAGCTTGCTACTTGAGTGTCCTTTACTTTTGTGTGGAACTTGTGGAGGTAGGACCGACCTCCCGCACCCCACCCACAGTCATAATCTACCCAAGCTGCCTGCCCTTTCACCTTTCACCAGCAGGGAGACTCTGAGTCTCCTTCTTATCAATGGAGTGTGTCATTGCTTATGGAGGTGGCTGAGTCCGAGGGAGGGCGAGACACACTGCCTCGGGACCGTGTCAGGATGAGTGGAGCACCAGCCAGCAGCTCTGGCTGGCAGCTCTTCTTCGGCATGTTGGACGGTCCTCAGCTGCTCAGCCACTGTGATGACTACCTCACGCTTCCATGCCCGCGTCTGCGCTTTCTCTCACTGGGACAGTTTCTTTCCTTTTTTTTTGCCAGTCCTGGGGCTTGAACTCAGGGCCTGAGCACTGTCCTGAGCTTTCCAGCCTAGCACTCTACCACTTGAGCCACAGCACCACTTCCCGCTTTTTCTGTGTATGTGGTAGTGAGGAATGGAACCCAGGGCTTCATGCATGCTAGGCAAGCACTGTACCTCTAAGCTACCTTCCCAGACCCTTCATTTTGTTTTTGCTTTTTCTCCTGCTACAGGTTATGGGAGAAGATATTATCCCAGAAAAAATAAAAGATGAACTTCACTCAGAGGTCAAGTGTGTGGGTCCCGAGGCCCTGGCTGCCTTGGTGCCGGCGACCTTGAAAGAATTTGAAGACAAGTGGTTTGGAAAGATCAAGAACCATCTCTGTCCTTCGGAAAATCAGTTGCACACACAAATACAGATCGTGGCTTAGCAGCAAAACCATCCTCCATTGTAAAATTGTTCTTGTTTCCTGTTTACTTCAGATAGGATCTATTGCTTAATCATGGAAAACAGCGAATTAAAGTTGAGTACTTATGTTTTATTTTTTTAATGGCTTCTCTTTGAGATTATTCTGGCTGTGTTCAGCGTTTGTTTTTTTTTTAGCTTTGTGTGTGTGTGCACACACTCTCATACTGGGGCTAGAACTCTCCTCTCCCCTCTCTCCTCTCCTCTCCCTCCCCTCCCCTCCCCTCTCCTCTCCTCCCCATCCTTTCCTCCCCTCTCCTCTCTTCCCTTTCTCTGTCTCTCCTTCGCTCTCTCTTCTGCCCTCTTTTCCCCCTCTCCTTCCCCTCCTCCCCCTCCGTGGCAGCAGCATGTAGACACAAGTGAGAACCCGGCCTCCGCTCCGCTGCCCGCGTGCTGCGGGTCAGGAAGGGGCACCAGGGAGGGAGAGGCGGCCTCTGGGCATCGTCCTCTGCGGACAGGCCGCCTGAGCGCACCGGCCCTCGCGGGACGTGCGCTCCGGGCCCAGCCGGCCCCTGCCAGCGCTCCTGACCTGGATTTCCTTTCTCCCGCTGTCTTCCTGTCTTCGCCAGGCCCGCGGGCTGTGGGCTGTGTGCTGTGTGCTCCGGCCCAGCCTCGCCTGCGCCTCTCACGCCCGGCTTTGACCCAGCCAGTTACGGCAGCTCGCCAGGGCCCGCGCAGCCCCTGCCTGCCTCAACGTCCCCTCCCTACAGAGGCTCGGCCGGCTAGGGCGCCCGTGGGCAATCAGGTGTTGGGGACGGGGCTGGAGAGCGGCCAGACTCCGCTCTCAGGCCGTCCGTCCCCTGGAGGGGCCCGCCTGCCCTCCTCCCAGGCCTCAGTGCCCCTGTCACCTTCCCCCAGTCTCTCAGACCAGTGAAGCCCGGGGCAGGGGACCACACGCACTGGTGGTCAGAGCTGCAAGTCTGTTCCCTGGCACACTCAGCCCACGCTGGAAATGTAATGAATACCTGTATCGAGCCCTCTGCGGCCGAAGGCAAGGCTGGCTCCGGGCCCAGACCTGCGGAGCCCCGCCTCCCTGCGCTGTGGCCCCGCCCCGCCCTGGCCCCGCCCTCCCATGCCTGTGGCCCCGCCCCAACTTCCTTGCCCCGCCTTCCTGCATCCGTGGCCCCGCCCCCCTGCTTCCTGGCCCCGCCCCTGCCCTCCCCGCAGACCCAGGAGGTGGACTCGAGGGCTTCCTGGGGTCTCTGCTGTTCCCATGGGGAGGAGGCGTCGCTGGGCTGGTTGGGGGCAATGGCCAAGGGCGCCGCCCGGGTCCTTCCTCCCCCTTCACCGAAGCCTCCAGCACTGTGAGGAACTAAATTCCTGTGGTCGAAGCTGCCCGACTGTGGGTAGCGCGGCCCTGGCAGCTCCCTGCCCTCGTCCCCGCCAGCCCCTGTGCATGGCCTCCCTCGCCTCCCGGCTTTGCCCCAGAAGTCAGGGGAGAGGCCTGCTTTGTGCTTCTCAGGTGAGACAAGAACCACGGGGCTCAGAGAGCCTGCAGCTTCCTCGCGAGCACCTTTGGAAGCATCTAGAAAGTCGCTCCTTAGTCAGGGCCACCAGCCTAGAAGGCCTCTTCATCTGGATCTGCAGAAAGCGCCCTCGTGTTGGGAGTCGTGGAAGGACGCGTTGGCCCCGTGTGCACACACGTGACTGGTTCTTTGGCCCCTTAGGGCCTTCCGCCCTTGGATGCCCTTTGTTGCCACCCCCTAAAGGGGAAAGAACGAGGGGGCACCCTGAGAGACCGCAAGAGGTCCCCCAGAATACACTGAACCCCGAGGAAGACAAAGCTGTGTCTTGGCTCATCCGAGTGCGCAGTGTGTACGCCCCTGACCACAAGCGGGGCGGCGCCCGTGTCCGACGTGCAGCCTTTGGAGAAGCTGCCCCGGCACTTTGGGGATAGGCCAGCAGGGCAGCAAGGGGCTTGAGTGGGGCTGTGGGTGACCCCTCCAGCTCTGCGGAGGTCACCCCAGCGTGCGAGCCTCCGCCCGCCTCCCGGTCCGCTCAGATGGGAGCCCGGACGGCTCACTTGGTGGGACCGCAGCGGTGCTCTGTTCTGCCTGGGGGCCACAGAGATGCTCTGGGCTGTTGCTGGGCAAATGGAGCAACGAGGTCAGTGTTGTGTGAGAACCGATGAACGCAACAGATGGTGTGGAGCGGACTCTAGGACCTGGGAGCATGAAGAGTCAGTTTCTGGTCCAGTCAGTGCTGCCCCACTGTATGTGGGGTCTGTGATCTCCAAACCCTTGTTGGAGGATGCACCTGGCCATGGGTAGAATGCACTTCCATTGCTATCCATGGACACGACAACCTTATCATTTCTCCTTTTTTTTTGGTGTTGGTCGTGGAGCTTAAACTCAGACCCTGGGCTCTTTTGTTCAGAGCTAGCACTCTACCATTTTGAACCATAGCTCCACTTCCCATTTTCTGATGGTTAATTGGAGATAAGAATCTCAGGGATAGGGGCTGGGAAGGTGGCTCAGTGGTAGAGCATTGCATGCCTGAGGCCCTGGGTTCGATTCCTCAGCACCACATAAGCAAAAAAAGAAAAAAGCCGGAAATGGTGCTGTGGCTCAAGTGGTAGAGCGCTAGCCTTGAGCTGAAAAGCTGAGGGACAGTGCCCAGGCCCAGAGTTCAGGCCCCATGACCGGACCCCCCCCCCAAAAAAAAAAAGAATCTCAGGGATTTCCATGCCCAGGCTGGCTTTGAACAATGACCCTCAGATCTCAGCCTCCTGAGTAGCTATGATTACAGGTGTGAGCCACTAGCATCTGGCTTCTATCTTTTCTCCTGTTCTTTCTAGTGGTGTCACCGTGGGTCCCTCCCCGGTGACTTTGGGTTCCAAAACAGAAAGCTGTGTGGCAGGGAGCATGGGCGGTGCTCAGGTGCCATTGTAGAGTGTTGCTCTGTATTTGAAGGACAGACTCCAGCAAGCAAGCTCCGCCAGAGGAGGTCCTGATTATAACCTGGAGTGGAATTAAACATGGCATGGGACCAGGTGGGATAGCTTTTAAAATCTGTTCACGGTCTGGTCTGGCTTTCTACCACCCCACTGCCAGGACAACCACCATTCCCTGGGGGAAGTGCTGGTTTGGGAAATAAGCTCAAGGTCACCTCCAGTCAGTATGTCCCAGCCTCAGGTCCAAAGGGTTAGAATCTGGACCATGGTGCAAAGGTAAATGCTCCGCAGCTCAGAGGCTTAAATGATAGATGCTCATTTCTTGTGTGCTGAGGCTGAGGCTGGGGCTCTACTACTTGAGCCACAGCTCTACTTCTGGAATTTTGGCAGTTTATTAGAGATAGAAGCATCACGTGGATTTTCCTGTGCCAGCTGGTTTTGAACCATAATACTGAGATCTCAGTCTCTGAATGACTAGGATTCCAGGCATGCATGAAGCACCAGTGCTGGGCTTAGTTCTTGTTCTTTTTTTTTTTTTTTTTGGAGGGGGGTCTGGTCATGGGGCCTGAACTCTAGGCCTGGGCACTGTCCTTCAGCTTTTCAGCTCAAGGATAATGCTCTACCACTTGAGCCACAGCGCCACTTCCGGCTTTTTTCTTTTTGCTTATGTGGTGCTGAGGAATCGAACCCAGGGCCTCAGGCATGCAAGGCAAGTGTTCTACCACTGAGCCACCTTCCCAGCCTATTAGTTCTTGTTCTTATTACATGTCCATTGCAGCGCAGGAGGGCGGAAGTTGGGATTTAGTTGTCAGTGGTCACGGAAGGCCCAGGACAGATGGAGAAGGTTCTTTCCATATGGCAAGCTGCACCCAGGCTCCCCTTGACCCTGAGGCCTCCAACCAGAGCCATACCCACCTACCTCCTAGCTGGTCAGCCACGGCCCTGCTGAGGGCCCGAGAGAGGCAGAACAGCACTTCTTACAGCGCCAGATGCTCGTCCGGCACAGAGGGGACGCTCCGGGTGGGAAGTGACCAGGCCCGGGCAGGGCTCCCAGGCCGTGGCAGGACAGGCCCCAGAATGCAGGGTTTGGGAGCTTTTGTCACTCCAGCCAGCTCGCCCTGCCTTCAACTTTCTCAAGCTACTGTGAAATCCGATTTAGAACACTCAACAGCATCTGGTGATTCTACCCTGTCCCAGGGTAAGCCAGAAATAGCAGCCTGAGGGCTGGGGCCCCATAAACCAGCAAGAACCAAGGAGTTGGCTTGTATTTTTTTCTTGTTTGTATGTTTTCTTTTGTTTTAAACTGTCAGGAACGAATAAGCAACAACAACAACAAAAAGTAAAGTGAAGTGAAGAACAGAACTTAAACAACAAAATAGAAGACAAGATGCCCCACCCTTGCCAGGAGTATTGGAAAAATGGGAATGGAGGAGTGGAGGTGCTATCACAGCTCAGGCCACAGGACAGAGGGCTCCGCGTCCTCTGCAGCAAAGGCCAGGCTCCGCAGCCAGAGCGAGGCAGCACACATGTCTGCTGCAATGACTTGTGGGTAACGGGAGGAACTCTGGTGCCACCATCTCTGGGTGGAGCAGCCCAGAGCCTAGCTCACTGCCTGCCACTCCTCTGGCTGTCACCTTGGCTGTGTGTGTGGGGAATGAATGAGAGACAGGGCTTGAGGGTTCCACATTCACTCCTGCTGGTGGGGGGGGGGGACATGCCAGATGGAGGCCCCGGAACTGGAGGCAGATGAACTCTTCCTAGTTGTGAAGGCTGCCCTGGGCCTTGCAGTAGGATCATTCCCAGACCCTAATAACTCAGGCTCTGATGGAGAGACCAGGTCCAAGGGCCTCTGGTCTAGTCCATGGCTCGCTGAAGCAAGAATCTGATTCTGTTAAACTGACATGTCCAAGTAGAACCTCTAAACTCCTCAGCTCACCCCATTCTGTTGACCAGCTTCCAGTAGCTTCACATAACTTAAGGACAGGCTCCCTGATTCACTGGGTCCAGAGAAAGCCAAGTGTTAGCATTTTCAGGGGAAAAGAACTTCTTGTAGAACCATCCAGAACGTTCCCACATTCTCTCCTGAATCCTTCCTATCGGGCTGTCTGGGGAGAGCGCCATTCCTGGGCACTAGGAAGCAGCCGTTGACTGTCCTTCAGTTACATCCCAGACCTCAGTCTACCATGGGTAAAATGTGGTGGTGGGGGGTGGGGTGCTTCTGCCCCTTCTTATTATAAGATAGAGCCTCAGGGCCCATTATCATCGAAGCTCTGGGTGATCTAGGGAAGAAGATAGGGGTTCTGGTAGCACTATCTTGTCCTCTACTTCCCTGGAACCTTCTGGAATGGGCTACAAAGGCCAAACCAGAGACAGAAACTCGGGGACTGGTGGGGGTTGACAAGTAGATGGTCTCAACCTGTAGCCCCATTCAATGCAATTAGTCATTAGGGTGAGGCCAGAAACTCGACTCCTGGCCCTGGGCCGAGCCCCTTCAGAAATGAGGGGAGACCTGTAGAAAAGGCCTCCAGGTGTGGGTCGCCCTGGGCACCAGGCCAAACTGCTCCAGCTGCAGCCGGGTGGGCCTGTAGGCCTTGAGGTTGCTGTAGATGGCGGGCGGGCTGGGGGAGAAGGGGGCCTGGGTGGCCGGAGCTCTCCAGGGGCTGTGGTAGGGCTGAAACCTGGGGGCTGCTGGGGGGTTTGGGGTCTGGGGGCTTCCCGGCCCTGAGGACGTGGACAGACTCTGGTTGTGGGGGTTGCTGCCTGTGGAGGAGTTGCTCAAGGGATTGGAGGATGTGTGCTCACTGGCAGAGCAGCTGCTGCCGCTGAGGCGGCCGTTGGGGGTGCTGGGCTGGAGGGGTGCCACTAGCCGGGGGGACTTCAGGCCCATCAGGGGTTTGGAGGAGGCGTAGAGGTGACAGAACTCCTCGTCAAACAGCTCCACCGCCTGGCCCGTGAACTTGGAGAGGATGTTCCGGTGCACGTGTCCACAGAGCCAGGAGAAGCTGAAGAGAAAGAGAAGACAGGGAAGGGGTAAGGAGAGAAGTGGGCAGGGAAGAGGGGTTCCCCCCACTACTGACCCACTATAATCCCACCTCCCCCTAGTTTCAACCCCCTGGGGGTTGAAACCCTGGCTCATACAGTGCTGATGGCTTGTGCCGGCAGTCTTAGCCACTAAGAGGCTGAGATCTGAGGATCAAGGTTCAAAGCTAGCCAGGCAGAAAAGTCTGTGAGACACTCATCTCCAATTCACCACTAAAAAGTCAGAGGTAGAGCTGTGGCTCAAGTGGTAGAGCACAAGCCTTGAGCAAAAAGCTCAGGGACAGCGCCCAGGCTTTTCGTTTTTTGGTGCCCCTGAAAAGCACCAAAAAAGAGGGGGAAAAAATCCAAGAAAACCGTGGCTGGCTATGTCACTCCCTCGGAGAGGCAGCAGCAAGCATGAGGTTTCTGGTTGCCAGGGCAACAGACACGGATCTGCCCTCAAGAGCCCCTTTCCTGACAGTCCCCAGATCAGCAAATAGCAATCAAATAAATCCCACCTAACGGGGCTCATTAACATGCTGGTAAGATGACTAGGAACAGAGGAGCTGAAGCCAGGGCCTGCCAGGGGGTTCATCTGGCAAGCAGACCCCTCCCCTCCTCTCCCTACACACTGCACAGACACAGAAGACAACAACAAGGACCCTGCAGGGCCTCTGGGCGCTATGGTGTGCCGTGAGGTACAGGACCTAAGGTCTGTCTCTTATGAGGGGCGGCACAGATGCACATCTGGTACACCAGTCAATCAACTTGCTCGTGAGTGTTCACATCAAATGAAGGATCGACCTCCGGCCTGAATAAAATTCATCCCAACAAAGCATCGGGGTCCCACGGCCTGACTCAAACCCGCGGCTCCCTTATTTTCACTTTAATAAACTTAAAAAAATAATTTTTGCTGGGCATCGATGGTTTACACCTGTAATCCTAGCTACTCAGGAGGCTGAGATCTGAGGATTATGGTTCAAAGCCAGCTTGGGCAGGAAAATCAGTGAAACTCTTATCTCCAATAAACTACTAGGAAACCAGAAGTGGCACTGTGGCTCAAGTGGTAGAGCGCTAGCCTTGAGCTGAAGAGCTGAGGGACAGCGCCCAGGCCCAGAGTTCAGACCCCACAATGAAAAAAAAAATCATTTTCAAAGCCAGGTACTAGTGGTTCATACCTGTAATTTTTGCTACTCAGGAAATTGGAATTCCAAGCCAGCGGTGGGGTCAGGGATGGGGAAAGTCCAGTAGATTCTTATCTCTGATTAGCCACAAACAAATAAAAAGGCTGGAAGTGGAATTGTGGCTCAAGTGGTAGAACACTAGCCTTGAGCCAAAGAAGCTCAAGGATAGATAGCATCTAGGCCCTGAGTTCAAGCCCGAGGACTGGTGCGGGTGTGTGTGGGGGGTAATTTTCACTACATTTCATTTCTTGCTCAATTTTGTCTCTCACGGGACAAAAGAATCTTAGCTGCATGACTTTCTAGTAACATCTCTATAGATGACAGTGTGAAGCTCTGATGTGTTTGCAGGTGAATAACTGATCACTACAGTGAGTGTGGGTCTCAAGGCTCCTGCAGGGTGTGCAGATCCGGGGTCTTTGCAAGGTCCAAGGGGGCAGGAAGGGACTGACTATGTGCGGAGTCCACTCTGCACTGAGAAGTCACCAAGCAGCGTGGTTAGCAGCTCCCCTTCCCAACGGGACCCCTGCTCCCTGCCACCGTTAGGGGGCTGCAAAAACGTGGCCCAGACATACACTGAAGCACACCCCAGGGCAGGCTGTGGGGTCCATTTAGAGATCTAGAATGCCCACAACATTCTTAAAGCGTGTGTGTGTGTGTGTGTGTGTGTGTGTGTGTAATGATTCCAATTTCAGTGAATTCTTTTCATTCTCATCTCAGACTCCTGAAAATGCAGTGACGGTGCACACAGCTCTGCGGAGAGGAGATGCCTAGAAATTCCTGGCTCCTTCCTTTGGTAAGCCAACGGTGGGGTGGGGTGCCCTGTGGGGGAGAATGGCTGGCCTGAGAGGACTGGGGTGACAAGGGGAGGGGCATTGCCTGAGCTGAGCAGAAATGAGGGACAGGCCCTCCCCAGCTTCAGTGCCAGGCCCGCCTGGCCTGGCCCCCGCCCTGGGGGTAAGTGCGCTGCTGCTGCTCCGTGGGGCTGCGCGGGCCCACACATGCCAGGATAATCCTGGGAACAAGGAAGCTTTGTTTCAACTTCTCCCTTCCAGAAGCACCAACAGGTCCAGAGATGGGAGCCCCTGTAGCTAAGCCAGGTGTTAGGGAGGGAGGCGAGGCTCACTCTGCTGTTAGGGATCCTTGGTGTGTGTTTTGCTTTAACAAAACAAGTCTAAAGATGCCCTGGCAACTTCTTAGGTCCCTGCATGACCTCTCTTATTCCCTGCTTGCTCCCCTCCATCCTCCAATCCCCCCCCTCCACACTAGGCATGCCTGTGCATGGCATGTTTTTGCTTTTATGCTCCTCTGACTTTGATTCAGGGCAATAAATATACTTTTTGGAATTATGTTTTGGTCCTCCACCCTCCACCTCCACCTTTCACTCAAAATCTCTCAGACCCTGCAGGGCCCTCACCAGTTGTCACCATGCACGCAGGTGACAGAAACTAGTTTCCCTGCGTTTTATCTTTCCACTCATCATCATAGCACATTTCCAAGTGACAGCTGTTGACAGGGAGCCTGGGTTCGCCCTCTCGCTTTCCCTGGAGGCAACAGCTGTAATACACTGTGGATGCTGGGAAGTGTGGTATTGCTCAAAACTTCGCAGCCTCATTGATGATGTTGGCGCAGGGTCTTAGAACTGAAAGTTTCTGGGAAAGAATCTATTTCTCTCTCTCTCTCTCTCTAGCTTGCTCTTTCTATCTATCTATCTGCTAGTCCTGGGGCTTGAAGTCAGGGCCTGGGTGCTGTCCCTGAGGTTCTTTGCTCAAGTCTAGTACTCTACCACCTTGATCCACAGCTCCATTTCTGGCATTATTTTTGGCAGTTAATTGGAGATAAGAATCTCATTTACTTTCCTAACCTGGCTGGGTTTGAACCACCGTTCTCAGATCTGAGAGCTAGGATTACAGGTGTGAGCCATCAGTGCCTGCCAAGATTGAAGTCCGGATTTTGTTTTGTTTTCAGCTCAAGGCTAGTGCTCTACCACCTGAGCCATAGCACCACTTCCAACTTTTTCTGCTTATGTGGTGCTGAGGAATGGAACCCAGGGCCTCATGCATGCAAGGCAAGCACTCTACCACTGAGCCACCTTCCCAGCCCCTCCAGATGGTTTTAAAGTGCAATGTATTTGGGGACAGCTGAAGGGATGGAGCTCAAAGCCACCTGCTCTGGATCCTAAATTCCCTTAATTTTTGGCTCTTTCGTCCAGTGATTCCATTTTCTCATTTCTTTGCAATGCGGCTGGTCGGTATCTCACTCAGCCCTTAGCCTTCATAAAGCTTCAGTAGGAGACACCTATAGGAGCTCACCTGTATGATCCAGACAGAACGTATCTCCAGTCTGAAATGATGAACTTCTCCTGAATTTGGCCTGAGAATTTCCTGCCTGATTTGGCACAGTACACCTCCCCTTCCACACTCCGGATAGAAATATTCTGTTGGAAGCAAAGTCAAGGGGGTCATTTACTAAGCAAGGCTTCACCTGCGCGCATTTTGGCTAGAGACTGAATATGCATTCCTCTCCACTGAAAATCTCAATATGATTGCATTGAAGGCCAGGGCTTTAGGGAGATGACTAGGTCCTGAGGGGAAGCCCTAAGGAAGATTAGTGGCCTTGTGTGATGATGGGTCCTGGAGAACTGAGAGCTGAGAGTTCTCTGCAGCTCTCCGGCACCGGCCCGTGAGGATGCAGTCAGAACACAGCCACTTATGAACAAGTTCCCTGCGGATCTCCTACAGCTGGGAAAAACGAATTCCGTAGTGTTTTTGTTTGTTTGTTTGTTTTTGTTGGTGGAGGGACTTGAACTCAGGGCCTGGGCACTGTCCCTGAGCTTTTTTGCTCAAGGCTTAGTTCTCTACCACTTTGAGCTGCAGCACCACTTCAGGTTTTCTGTGGTGATTAATTAGAGATAAGGGTTTCAGTGACTTTCCTGCCCAGGCTGGCTTTGAAGTGCAATCTTCAGATCTCAGCTTCCTGAGTAGCTTGGATTACAGGCGTGAGCCACTGGTGCCTGGCTAAAATTCCACTTTTTATAAGCCACCTGTGGTATGACATCCTGACCTAGTTGCCTGATCTAAGATGATTTGTCTTTGGAAAAAGTCCACAAAGATATTAATCAAGATGTGAACTTGTGATCTCTGCCTCGTGCGATCGTAGGCTATTTATATTTCTCTCTGACTTAATTTTCTAAATTTTCTTCATTGTCCTGCCATTGGCTGGCAGTGAAGAAAAAGGAAAAGAGGCCAAACTCAAATCCCCCCCACACACAAACACACACACACACACACACACACACACACACACACACACACGGGGCAAGGACTGAATGTCCATGAAGCCCCTAGCCACACATGCATGGACCACAAGAAGCCTGTCACTTACTTAAGGACAAGCCCCACCCTGCCCAGGCTTTATGAAAGACGGTCACCCAGCTGGGCAGAGGAATGGCCCAGAGTAGCCAGAGGGGACAGTTCTGTCAACATCCCTAGGGCACTGGGTTGTCCTATGGGAAGGTGTGACCGTGGCCCAAATCCTGGTTCTATTCCTCCCTCATCGCCCTAGCAGTCTCCCTTCCCAGTCTTCAACAGACCCCACTGAAGGCCAATGAAGCACAAGGCAGGTGAAGGGGATCTGTCTCAGGCTTTAAGCTAAGGGAGGAGGACTACTGTGGGGTCCAGTGCCCTGTGGTGAGCAGATGACAGTCAGGGGTGGCTGGAGTTCTTGATCTGTTTCCATGGTCTCCTGCCAAGAAGATGAGGCCCAGTGCATGTCAGGCAGACGCAGACAGCCAGCAGGGCTGAGGCCTGTGGCACTGGGAGGGAGGCCTAGGTCAGCACAGGGAGCGAGGGACAGAGGAGACTTCATCCTTGGGTGGGAGGGGCTACCAGAAATGGACCTACAGGGACCATCAGCTGATTGGCTGAGTCTACACAAGATCTTGAATGAGCACGGCAGGTGCGGTGCTCACGCCTGCAATCCTAGCTACTCGGGAGGTTGAGCCCTGTGGATGGTAGATCGAAGCCAGCGTGGGCAGGAAAATCCATGATTCTTCTCTGCAATTAAACACACACACACACACACCCCTTAAAAAAAGCCAGAAGTGAAGCTGTGGGTTAGCTGGTAGCGTGCTAGACTTGAGCAAAAGAAGCTGAGGGACAAACACATAGGACCTGAGTTCAAGCCCCAGGACCAGGAGTAGTGCACGCACACACATTCTCTCTCTCTCTCTCTCTCTCTCTCTCTCTCTCTCTCTCTCTCATCACACACACACACACACACACACACACACACACACACACACACACAGAACCTTGAATTAGCTACCCTCAATCAACTCTGTGTGTCTAATTAAAATCTTATCTCTCTTCCAGGAGTAGAAATAGGGAGTTCTGTTAGTTCTGACAACATCAACTTCCCTGGGACCAGAGTTGGAAATACGTGTCCTAAGGATCCAGCAGGCAGCCTGCCCAGTGAGGCACATCGCTGCTGAGAGGAGGAAAGGAGTCTGTGGCAGATTGCTGCTCATTAGATAACCCCTGTGCCCGTACACGTCCCCGCAGGCCAATGGCAGATGGGCACACTGGAATCTGACAGCCCCCTCTCGCCCTGTCACTGCTGTGTTGGAGGCTGTGTGTTCCTTACGGTGCGGCTGGGTGGAGGACAGCTCTGTAATCTACACAGGACATTGAGCAGAAAAGAATCCATTATTGTACAGCACATTGAGATGGGGCATTTGTTACCACAGCATCACCTCTCTTATCCTGACTGATACCAAATACCCTTCAGACTGTCATTACTCCCCTACCTTGAGGTGTCTGTCAGAGATCTGCACTTTGTCACACATCTCCTGGAAGAGCTGCACACCTGCCTGATCCAGCAGCACACAGACGAATACCCCGCGCTTGTTGGAAGCCTCTAGAATGTCACAGAAGATCTCCACATCCGTGAACACATCCATCAGGATGGCCAGGACCTGGGTCAGAGCAGAAGGCCCCGTTACCAAAGAAGTCAGAGCTACACGCTGACTGCCGTTAGCCAAACTTCTGAAGTCAGAGCGGGAGGGGAGGTCGGGCAGCGGAGGGGACGATGGAGAGAGCTCCAGGAAGGGACAGGAAGAACTGCAGTAGGGGGTCTTTGGCTCTGGTTCTGATGCCACCCATCCAGCCCCTGTACATCTGCTTTGTCTGTCGGCTCACTGTTGGAGGGCAGGGGGCAATGGAGAAAGGCTAAAGAAAGAGCAGAGAGGGGGACAGAACAAGCAGAGAGGAAAGAAAAATAGTCAGGATTCTCAGCTCTGAGGAGCTAGGCCTGCCAGGGTCACTCATTTTCAAGTGTTTTTTTTTCTTCTTTAAGGTCCCCGACTGGGATTTGAACTTGGTACCTTATGCTTTCACTCATGGGCTGGCATTTTACTAACTGAGCTATGCCTCCCTCCCTGTGTTCACGTGTTCCTAAACCAGATATAAAGTAGCTCAGTGGGTTGGAGAAGTCCTGCTTACTCAGCAGTCACTGTGTGATCTGTTATAGAAGAAACCAGCGGAGGGAACAGACTTCCCAAGGAAACACTGGATACCCAGCAAAGGCTTCTCTCTCTCTCTAGAGAGAGAAGAATGAAGAGAGTGAATGTGTGTGCCTGTTCTCCATGGGTCTGAACAAGAGGGACGGGGTAGGGTGGGCGCGTGGTTCAGGTGAGGATCAGTCAGATACCAGCGCTATCCAGGGAGGGCCCCCAAATACCTAACACTCTTAACACACACACACACACACACACACACTGAAAAAAAAAAAAAACTATTGGCAAAGCTGGGCGCTGATGGCTCACATCTGTAACCCTAGGATTACATCATGGTTCGAAGCTAGCCCAGGCAGAAAAGTCCCCATGAGACTCTTATTTCCAATTAACCACTCAAAAACCAGAAGTGGCGCTGTGTTCTAAAGTGGTAGAGCCCTAACCTTGGTGGGGGAGGCAGGGAGAAAGAGCTCAGGGACAGCGCCCAAGCCCTGATTCAAGCTCTACAACCAACTAACACAAAAACTACTGGCAATCTCATAGATCACCTTAATCTGACTGAACTATAATAAATGCACGTGTGCACTGCGGTGGCAACACCTCTGCGCAATGAAAAAGAAGAATGAGAGGAAAGTAAACAGGTTGTGTTGGGGAACAGGTACCAGAGGGGTGGGGGAGGACCAACAGAGAGGATGACTGTGATCAGAGTACTTTATACACGTGTGTGGAAACAGGGATGAGATTGCTCTAGAAGGAGGAGGAGGGGGAGGGAGAGTTGGAGGGGTAACTTGGATCGGGATATGGATATATGGATGTATGGAAATGTCATGATGACACCTTGCCCTGTACAAGTAACATATGCTAAAAGAACACTTCAAAAATCATGGACAGTCTCAAAAAGCTTCTGTTAATGTGAATTATGTTTTTTTGTTTTTTGGTCAGTCACGGGGCTTGAATTCTGGGTCTGGGCGCTGTCCCTCAGCTCTTCAGCTCAAGGTGAGCACTCTACCACTTGAGCCACAGCGCCACTTCCTGTTAATATGAATTATAACTATTGCTAGCTGCCATCTGAGGAACTAAAAGTGAAGAAATGGAGAGCTTTGCCACTTCAGAGTATCAGTAGTCAACCCGTTACATGGTAACAAAAAATAACAGGGCTAGTGAAAAGACCTGTATTTCGTGCATGTGTGTGTGTGTGTATGTGTGTTTGTGTGTGTGTGTTTGTATGTGTGTGTGTGTTTGTGTGTGTGTGTGTGTGTGTGTGTTGCTAGGAACCCACAGTCTCACACAAGCTAAGCAGATGCTCTATCATCAAGTAGAGACATCAGCCCTCTTGTTTTACTTTCTTTCTTTTTTTTTTGCCAGTCCTGGGGCTTGAACTTGGGACCTGGGCACTGTCCCTGAGCTTCATTTGCTCAAGGCTAGCACTCTACCACTTGAGCCACAGCACCTCTTCCAGCTTTTTCTGCTTATGTGGTACTGATGAATCGAACCCAGGGCTTCATGCATGCAAGGCAAGCACTCTACCACTGAGCCACCTTCCCCTCTTTTTCCTTTGTCTTTCTGCTCTGTTTGGAGGCTTGAACTCAGGGCCTGGGCGCTGTCCCTGAACTCTTTTGTTCAATGCCAGTGCTCTACCACTTTAGGCCACAGCTCTACTTCTGCTTTTCTGGTGGTTAATTGGAGATAAGAGTCTCATGAACTTTCCTGACTGGGCTGGCTTTAAACCACAATCCTCAGATCTCAGCCTCCTGAGTAGCTAGGATGACAGGCTCGAACCACCCAGCTTGTTCTACATTCCTGCTGATCTCTGTGATACCTGCCTTAATGGAGGCCAATTTGTCTTCTGTCTCCAGCCTTAATCTGCTGCAAGGGGCTGGCTGGGCAAAGGCAATCTGGCCTCCTGTGGACAGTGGGTTCTAAAGGGCAAAGCCTTAGCTAAGCGCTGGTGGCTCAGAACTATAATCCTACCTGCTCAGGAGGCTGAGATCTGAGGATCGCCATTGGAAGCTAGCCTTGGCAGGAAAATCCAGGAGACTCTTATCTCCAATTAACCACCAAAAAGCTAGGAGTGAAGCCATGGCTTAAGTGGTAAAGTGCCAGCTTTGAACAAAAAGTCTAATGGATAATGTCTAGGCCCTGAGTTCAAGCTCCAGTACTGGCACACATACAAAAACAAAACCAAGCACACAATGTCAGAGCCTCACAGAACTGCCAGCAGGTTTATCGACCCAACTTAACACCTGCTGCCCCATGTATAAGATACAGTATGGGGAGGGGGAGGGGGAGTGAGTGAGGAGGGGGAGGGAAGGGATAGTGGGAAAACAACAAGAGAAGTGGTAACAACGCTCAACAAGAAATATATTCGTTTCCTTACTCACTCATGTAACTGTAACCCCTCTGTACAACATCTTTACAATAAAATAAAAATTAAAAAAAAAGACAGCACAGCTGAGCGCTGGTGGCTCACGCCTGTAATCCTAGCCACTCAAGAGGCTGAGATCTGAGGACTGAGGTTCAAAGCCAGTCTGGGCAGGAACATCCATGAGACTCTTATCTCCAATTAACCCCAGAAAACCAGAAGTGGTGCTGTGGCTCAAGTGGTAGAGCGCTCGCCTTGAGCTGAAGACTCAGGGACAGTGCCCAGGCCCAGAGTTCAAGCCCCATGATCCACACACACACACACACACACACACACACACACACGCACACAAAGACATAGCACAGCTGCACCTGTGCCAGAGCCCCCATCCCTGTCCACATCTCTCCCCCAGCTCTGGTCCTGTTGGGTGGTAACAGAATTTCCCCCTCTTCTGAGACACAGATACTTCTTCCACCTCCTTCCCACCCCCTGAGCTTCTCTCTGCCTGGAATCCTTTCCCTTCCTTCCCTGCGGGGCAAACTCTTACTCAGCCTTGACTGGACTCAGGCCACCTGCTCTGAGAAGCCTGCCTTAGTCACCACCCTTCCCAGGCACAGAGAGCTGCTTCCGCTGCCTCCCTTCTTCTCTCAAGGGGAGACGTCAGGCCTGATCTCCTTCCACCTTTCCTCCTCCTCTGTCCATCTGCTTCGAAGGGCAACCTGTGGCTGCTGTTGCCATGGAAACAGGCATCCATTCCTGTGCATGTGTGCGTGCCTGTCACAGGGACATCACACAAACTCAGCCTGCAGGTGGATTCTTCTAGGGCCCAGGAAGAGGGGAATCACCCAAAAAGGCGACCTCAGCCCAGAGCCAGCGGTGCCAGCTCTTCCTTCTACTTGCCAGGAAGAGGTGGAAAACTTCCTTTGAGGTGAAAGGTTCAGGTTGGAAGTGTTGTAACGTGCTGTGTTGCTTCGAAGGCCCGAGTGGGCCCTGGAATATGGAGGAGGAGGAGGGGAACCTTTTCTTTCTTCTTTCTCTCTCTCTTTCTTTCTTTCTTTCTTTTTGCCAGTACTGGGGCTTGAACTCAGGGCCTAGACACTGTCCCTGAGCTTCTTTTGCTCAAGGTAAGCACTCTACAACTTGAGCCACAGCACCAGGCTTATTCTGTTTAGGTGGTAGTGAGGAATCGAACCCAGGGCTCCATGCATGCTAGGCCAGCACTCTACCACTAAACCACCTTCCCAGCCCAAGGGGAACCTTGAAAGTGGGAAGTAAGGAAAGGGGACTGACTCTGCCAGGAGCTTGGGCTTCCTAGGCTCTGAGATGGCTTTGGGATGGGGTGTCCCCCTCCCCCAGGCCCAGGGGGGTCCACTCCACCCCTTAGAGAGCTCAGGGTATCACAAGGGGAGGTCAGGCCTGGGGAAACAGAAGGGACCTCAGTCCAGCCTGGGGACAGCTGGGCCTTGGGAAATCGGGGTCTTACCCAGGGTGGCCCTGACAGCTGCAAGCAGCCTAGGCTCCAGACTGCCTGCCTGGACCATCTATCAAACACTGGGGCCGCCTGGCAGGAGACATGAAGCACTGCTCTGTGCTGCCCAGCTATACAAGCACTCCACCCAGCCCCAGCTTCCACTTCATTTCCCAGCACTCCGCTCCCTCCCTTTCCCTCCACATACAGCCTCCTGGCCACCCACCGTGGCTCTTTCCAGAACCTTAAGTATCGACTCTGGGATAAGGAGAGACTGGGCCCTAGTGCCAAATGAGCTTAAATAACTGCCTGTCCTCGTAGGGCTTTTGAGTATAACAAACTAAATGGTCTCAATGACACCAAAGAAGACAAGTATTAAACTTTATAGGTAGATGGCAAGTCTGTCCAGCTGTACAGAGAGGGCCAATGTCTGTCCTTGGAGGCCATCGCCCCTCCCCTGCTACTCCTGACCATCCTCAGCCCTGAGCTGAGCAGTCACCTGCACATAGAGAGAGGGAGACTTCCATCTGATCCCCAGCGGGCCTGGTGGCCAGCCAAGACCCGGTACACAGAGACCCTGGGAGGATGCCTGGCAGGGCTGCCACAGTGTCTTCAATTCTATTAGCCAGACACTGGTCCCAGAGGACTGTTGACCTTCCAAAGTCCCTTATTAAATTGTCAATCCTGCCAGGAGCCACTGGCTCACATCTGTGATCCTAGCCACTCAAGAGACTGAGATTTGAGCCTGGGCAGACAAATCCAAGAGACTCGTATCTCTAATTAACCACCAAAAGGCTAGAAGTAGGGGTATGGCTCAAGTGGTAGAGTACCAGCCTTGAGGAAAACAGCTAAGGGGCCAGGTGCTGGTGGCTCATGTCTGTAATCTTAACTACTCAGGAGGCTGAGGATCATGGTTCAAAGCCAACCTGGGCAGGAAAACATTTGTAACCATTATCTCCAATTAACCTCTTAAAAACCAGAAATGGAGCCTTGGCTTAATGTGGTAGAGTGCTAGCCTTGAGCAAAAAAAAAAAAAAGGCTCAGGGATGCCAGGTACTGGTGGCTCATATCTATAATCCTAGTTACTCGGATCTGAGATCTAGTTACTGAGATCTGAGGATTGTGGTTCTAAGCCTGAGCAGGAAAGTTTGTGAGACTCTTATCTCCAATTAATCACAGAAAGTCTGAAGTGGCACTGTGGCTCAAACGATAGAGCACTAGCCTGGAACAAAAGGAGCTTAGAGACACACCCAGTCCCAGAGTTCAAGCCCCACAACAATCACAACCACTACCACCAACAAAAAGCTAAGGGGCAGAGTGCTAAGGCCCTGTAATAAACATACAAACAAAGTAATAAAGGATGCGGATCCTGGGCTAGGAGTGTGGCCCAGGTGATAAAGGGGAAAAGGAGGTTCTGGGTTCACTTCCAGAGCTGAAAAAAAGGGAACTAGAGGTATGGCTCAAGTGGTAGAGCACCAGCCAGCCTTAATAAAAAAGTCACGCAAGATTTTAAGGCCCTGAGTTCAAGCCTCAGTACCAGCACAAACAACAAACAGGGAAATGGATTCCTCCTGGGGTGCCGAGTCTACCTTCTGCCTGGCTCCTAGCCTGATTTCAGTGCCTTAGTGTCACTTCTCTGACAGATTACCTTAAACAGAGGTGAGAGGACAGGAAGGCTTCTCGTTGGAATGGCCCTCGGAGGTGGGCACTTGGGCTGGGAGGAGTAGCATTAGCCGGATGAAAGGAACAGAACATGGGAAGATCTGAGCGCTGGGCAGGTGGATGATCTGCAGACACATGGCAGGAAGGAGGGGAGCTGGGAGCTGGGAGTAGGTGAAGGGTTTTGCTTTTCCCACATGGCAAGTGGAGGCACAGAGGGCTGTAAGCTGGGAAGCGGCCAGTTTGAGACTTGTAGCATAGGAAAAAGGGCTTTGCTGGATCTAGATAGAAGAGAAGGGCCAGGCAAGACTGGAAGGAGATGGCCTGGAACCCAGGAGGACCAGGAGATCAGGGATCCAGGGCAGAGCCCCAGACTCCTTCCTAAATCCCATCTCCCCTGCTCTGTGGTTCCACCCCAGCCCCGACTCAGGGGGCCTGGGCTCCGTCACCCCTACCTGGCTGCTCCGAGCGATGCAGCGGCGGATCAGGTCTCTGATGTTGTTGTGTTTGTCTGTCTGGAAGTACACAGTAGCGCTGGACTTTTCCTTCTTGTAGGGCTTCTGGGCTGAGGCCCAGCTGTGCAGCAGGGCTGGCTGGCTGCCCTCGGAGGCCGCAGGGAAGTAGGTACCGGACTGCAGGGAGCAGGTGTCCAGGCCCCTGGGGCCTGCCTCAGCTCCTCCTGTAGGATCTGGGGCCCTGGGGGGCTCCTTGGCCTGGGCTTGGATGTACTGGGCCTCCACGGAGGACAGGAAGTCTATTTCCCCTTCCTGGCTGAGTGCCCGCCCGTAGGCCTCGGGACCCCCGTCCAGGAGTGCGTCTGTGGCCAGCCGAGCACTCTCATTGTCACTGAAGTCAGCCCTGGCTGGCCGGACCCACTGGTTCTTGACATCTTCTAGACGCTTCCGGATCTTGCCCACATGCCTTGATCGGCTCATGCTGCCCTGTTCTCTGGGAGTGACAGGAGACGTCAGTACTTGGGGGTCTTACCCTGGATGTGGGGAGCCCACAGAGAAGTGGGGCTCCCAGCCCCCTGGTCCCCTGGACTGGCCCGGCTCCTTCCAGCTGGAGAGAAGATTTACCACTCTCTTGAACAATTCTCACCTGCAGCTGAGGGGCTGGCTTATCTCAGAGCGCCGCCGCCCTGCCTGCAGGCATGAGGGCTGGCTCCGTCACCGCCTTGGCACAGTCAGCCATGGGATATTTCCTCTCCTCCAGCCCAGCCGCAGCCCCAGCTGGCTTTCCCCACTTGCTGGGTTGCACAATCCACAGGCCTAGAGCTCCACCGGCCTTTGTTACAGTAGGGAGCCTCCCCCAGCGCACCAGCCCAGGACTTGCACAGGCCCTGGGAAGACCGTCTGTGGGTCTCATCCCCTTCTGTCGGTGGATTTAGAGACAAGACTTTTCCCAAGAAGGAGGGGGGTGATAGGGAGGAGGGACACTGTGGTACAATGAACAGTGGGAGGAGGCAGGCAGCGAGCAGGCCTGGAAGAACTGTTCACCTCCTTGCTTTATAACGTGCCCCAGGTCCACACCCCTCCCTGTCCTGTCCCCTCTCTGTCCCGTGTTTGTGAATGTTTGATTGACACAGCTTGCAGAGTTCCCACTTGTAGGGCCATCCTCTCAACAGAGCTGCTTAAGAGTATAGTCTGGACAAAGAGTTAAGAGGTCAGCTGGTATAGTGTGGCTCACTCCTGTAACCCAGCTACTTGGGAGGCAGAGGGTTTGGAGGTTTGAGATTTGAGGACAGCTAGGCAAAAGAGATTGTGAGACGGCTGGGAATGTGGCTTGGTGGTAGGGTGTTTGCCTAGCTCGCATGAAGCTCTCGGCTCGACTCCTCCATACCACACAAACAGAAAAAGCCAGACAGGGTGCTGTGGCTCAAGTGGTAGCATGCTAGCCTTGAACAAAAAGAAGCTCAGGGACAGTGCCCAGGCTCTGAGTTCAAGTCCCAGGACAGTACAAAAAAAAAAAAAGATTGTGAGACCCTTATCCCAACCAATAACTGGGTATGATGGTCAACATCTGTCACCCCAGCTACAGGGGGAGTGTGAATAGGAGGGGTGAAGTCTGGGCCTATCAGGGGGATAAACAAGAGACCTTATTTGAAAAATAACAGTAAAAAGGGCTGGAATCATGGAAGAAATGGTAGAGCACCTGCTTTGCAAGTATGAGACCCTGAGTTCAAACCCTGGTACTGCCTCAAATATAAAAGGAGTCAGACGAGGCTTCCCTGCCTAGGAATGCATGGGACTTGTCTTGGGCCTAGTGGAGGAGGGGGCCTTGCTGTGAGTCAACTATCTAAGCTCCAAAGAGAAGAACCATGTCCCTGTTTCAGACAGAAGGTTGCTTGACCATGGCCCGGAACATCTGGACTGGCTGAGCGCTCCGGCTCTGAGCACAGGTGTCTTGGAGGGTGATTCCAGGAAGTGCTGAGAAGGGTGCGGGGAGTCACACAGGAAGGGAAGGATGGCAGTGCAGGGCACACTTACACATGCCTAGGTTGTGGCCATCTGGGCCCCATGGACATCTGTGGGCACGTCGGGGACTTTGTTCTTCAGCAACCACCATTTGATGGTGGTTGATCTGGTCTCAGTGTGCCTACCCAAAGCATGATGGGCTGCGAATGTATCTGACACTGCTCACTTGGCACTGGGTGAGGGCCGCTCATGGGTCATGTCCATGCCCAGCCTGCTGGCCCGCTGGAGTGTTCCCCGAGTGCAATCCTGAAGCCCAGCAAGCCGCAGGTAGAGTGGTGGGGAGGGGCGGCGGTGGAGTAGTGGGGACTAGAGGACAAAAGCAGAGACCTGTGGACACGGCGAATCACTCAGCAGGCGGCAGGAGCCCATGTGTCCCAGGGTGCAGCTACTCTTTAGAGGAAAATGGCCCTGGACCCTCATGACACTCCATGGAGTTGTGGCCCAGGTGGCTTGGTCCCATAGCATGCTTCCAGAGAAATCCGAAGAAGAGAAAAGCCATTTCAAAGGAATTCCTGGCCTCTCGTGAGAGACAAGGAAGGAATCCAGTTCTCAGTCTCAGACAAGCCTTCTTTTGTTCCACTGTCTGTCCTCCCCTGCAACCTTGAGGACCAACCTGGCAATCCTTTCCCCAAAGCATCCGTGGCTCTCAGCCTCATCCCTTCTGGCTTTCTTCTCCCTCCTTTCTGCGCTAATCTGCATCCTCTTCTGTTCTTTCTCTTATTCTTTTTTTTTTTTTTTGGTCAGTCATGGGGCTTGAATTCTGGGTGGGCCTGGGCACTGTCCCCGAGCTCTTCAGCTCAAGGCTAGTGCTCTACCACTTGAGCCACAGCAACTGAATCTTTGAAAACAGTCAGCAAACACCTGGTAGGAGGGTGGATATGGTTCATCAGCCCCCATCCATGTTCTCCAGGCAGACAGCACATCAGGACAAGACATTACTAGTTGATCAACAAACACTCCCAGTGAGCAGAGCGCTAACCACTGAGGGCACTTTAGGGAGATTAAAGAGAAGTCCTCGCCTAGACTCAGAGCCTAGACTCTTGAAGAAACGGCAAGCCCTTAGCTGACTGATGAAAAAACGATCCCAGACAGGGGAAGTGACTGTTCTCCAAGTCACCTAGCTGGTCAGTGCTTGTCATCTGCTTAGATGCTCCTCTCCTCTGCAGCCCTGCCCTGGGAAGTGTCATCACCCTTCCCGGGGCCGCTGGCTGTTATAAACAGCCTCACCTGGGATTGCCTTCGGGAGCCAGGAAGTCTAGCCAGCTGTTGAACTTCACAGTTGGCACTGTGAAGCCTCAGCTGTGAGCATTGTGGGTAATGGAGCAGCTGGGGTTCCTGCTTCCTCTGGAGGCCATATGAGGTGTATCTGACCTGTCCATGAAGCCATCCAGCCATGAGACAAGGGATGGGAAACTGGACCTCTATTAGCCCCGGTGTGGTGGGGCTTCCCAAGAATCCCATTTAACCAAGGCAATGGTTCTCAACTGGTAGCAATTTTGGCTGGGCAATACAGATGGGGAAAATAAAAGTGGACTCATTAAAAATGAATGGGCCAGGCACCAGTGGCTCACGCCTGTAATCCTAGTTACTCAGAAGGCTGAGAACTGAGGATCAATGTTCAAAGCCAGTCTGGAAGACAAGTCTGTGAAATGAAAGACTCTTATCTCCAATTAATTACCAAGAAAGCCTGAAATGGAGCTGTGACTCAAATGATAGAGCCCTAGCCTTGAGCAAAAAGATTTCTGGGAAGCCTGGTGCCAATGGCTCACTCCTATAATCCTAGCTACTTCAGAAGCTGAGATCTGAGGATCATGGTTTGAAGCCAGCCTGGGCAGGAAAGTCTGTGAGACTTTGATCTCCAATGAATCACAGAAAAAGTCAAAAGTGGCATTATAGCTCGAGTGGTAAAGTGCTAGCCTTGAGCAGGAGATCAGGGCTGGCAAAAAGAAAAAAAAAAGAGCTCAGATACAGTACCCAGGCCCAGGATGTAAGCCCCAGGTCCAGCATTTGTGCATGCACACGCGTGCGCGCGCACGCACACACACATTCATACAAGAAAAGAATGGGATGCATGGATTTCAACTCATGGTTTTCAATGTAGATCAATAATAGAAACAAAAAATAAATTCTATGTCTAGCAAGTGCAAAGTCATGAGTTTAAACCCCAATACTGTGTGTGTCTGTGTCTGTGTCTGTGTGCACATGTGTGTGTGTGTCTGTGTGTGTGTCTGTGTGCACACCAGCAGTAGGGATTGAATTCAGTGCCTTGAGCTATTGCTTAACTTTTCCTTTTTCTTTTTTAAAGGCTGACACTCTACCATTTAAACCATGCTTTCACTTCTGGTTTTTTGCTGGTTAACTGGAGATTAGATTCTCAGAGATTTGTCTGCCTATGCTGACTTCCAACCATAACCCTCAGATCTCAGCCTCCTGAGTAGCTAGGATGACAGGCCTGAGCCACTGACACCAAGCTAATAAATAATAAATTCTATATCTAATATGCAAGATCTGAAGTTCAAATTCCAATATCACTAAAGATAAATAAACAAATTCTAATATATGCAATATAAATGACACAGTATTTAGGGGCTGGGAAGGTAGCTCAGTGGTAGAGCGCTTGCCTTGCATGCATGAGGCCCTGGGTTCGATTCCTCAGCACCACATAAGCAAAAAGAAAAAAGCTGGAAGTGGTGCTGTGGCTCAACTGGTAGAGTGTTATCCTTGAGCTGAAGAGC